TGTAAAAAAACGTAATTGAAGTGTTATAGTGAGTTGCTAGAAACTACTTACTATTATTTGAAAAGAATTGAATTGAATGGAATAAAAACTTATGTACGAAATTATTATTAATAGTGTTGCCAATAAAGCGTTCTAAAATCTCATGCTAAGGCTCATGTTAATTCCATTTAGTATTTTTATTTCAAGTAAGGAGGGTCTTATAAAGAATAATGAATGAAAATAATTAAGTTATAAGAGTAATATGGGTGTTATAATTCAATTTACACAAATATTTAGGAAAACATAAATACAAGAATTTGGAATGAAAAAACCTTTTCTGTTTTTTTTTTAATATTAACAAAAAACCTTAATATTTTCAAACAATCTTAAAGCAATATAACTGAGACAAGAAAAATTTGCTTAATCGATCTATATACGGAATCTTTTCAAATTTACCCCATCTTAAATTTGTACTTGTATATTAAAATAATTTTGAAAACTATCAAAACAAAATTTCAAATTGACCATGAAATAATAATGATTACTTTAACTACTAATTATGCTCTTATTTGATTATTTTCGTAATGAAATATTAAATTATAGTCCAAAAATTATTTTAGATTACCTTGATTAACATACTTTTTGTTATTGCCATTTTTTTTCTAAATTAATTCGTACAGACATATATATTTAATAATAATAACGTGTGTAGTCTTATAAATCAAGTAAACACAAATTAATAATTAAGAAAATCCATATTTGGTTAAATTTCATTATCACATCATATAATGACGAGTTGATCATTGATTTTATTGTGGTCATAAAAATAATGAAAATCATGAAACAAATTTTAGTTTATTAAAAAAATATTAGTGAATTATGGAGTTGGAATATTTGTACTATTGTGTAGGTACGTCATTTATTCTCACACCTATATTAATATCAAAATGATTTACAATAATTATTAGATTTTGAAAATTATTTATTAAATTTTCTTTAAAAGGTATTTCTATTATAAAGGTGGTTCTTTTCTTTTCAAATAACAATTCTAATAATGTGTGTGTTAGTTAAACTGCATTAGTTTTCTGAGCCATCTGTCTATCATTTTCGAAAATGTAAAGACCGTTTTACATAAAATCTTAAGGTAAGTATAGCATGTGACATTTAATTTACGTTCTTACTTAAACTGTTTTTTGAAGCGGCTTTAAAATATTTTTTATTGTACATATACATGTGAACAAACCTTATTACACGATTTAGAATGCTATAAATTAATTACTTTTTTAATACACTTTAAAATGCTTGTTGTTTTGACAATCATCCAAAATAAAATTAAGTTTTTCTCTACATCCTCTGCTGTGCTCTAACATAATTGTTAGAGCAAATTACGTAAAGAAAATTGGTTTCCAACCAACCAGTCCATTTGTATCATTCCAAACTTATTTTTGATTTGTTAGTTATCAGTATGTAAAAATATGCTTGTATTAATTTATAACAAACCTACTAACCAATTTTTGTTATGATACAAACTTAACTGGATATTACTAAAACAGATAAGGTATATGATTATAAGTTTATATTTAAATTGGAAAAAAATATATCATGCATTGTATGCTTTTTTAGTAATACTGTTTTCTCTTAACTTTTAACTTTTTTAAAAAGTGCAAAAGTATTAGCACAAAAATTACGTCAATAAATTTCACATATGGTAACACTAGCCTACATATAATAAAAACCTCTTAAAAACTATGATTTTTATAACATTATCTCAATTAATCTTATGGGATTTTGAAATTGAGGGGCGGAAATAAATCGTATTATTAGAGTATATGCATAAATACGAATGTGTTGCCATAATAAAGCAAGCAATATTAATATATTATGGAAAAAGATAGTTCCAATTATTAAGTGAAAATATAGTATTGATTAAAGAGAGATAATAAAAACAAAAAACACTACTAGTTCCACCTCTCTATTAAAATTGAAAGTGAAAATGACATTTGTGTTAGGACGTTTTTACTTACATAACCTCTCTTTTTCGAAAAGAAAATGAAAATGTTAAAATAATTTAATATTTGAACAAGAAATATTGCTATTTTTTTAATTATGTTAATAATTTTTAATTTTATTAATTATATCAATACTAATAAATTTTGGATCATGTTTTAATCATATTTCAGTTTTTTTTCATTATGAAAATGTAAACCGAAGCAAAAACAAAAATTTCAACATCAATTTAATAAAAACATGAAATTGGATGGGTGGATGTATTAATCAGTTCGCTGTTTTTTTCCATAAATATATTCCCAATCTTTAATGACAAAAAAAAAAAATTAGTCAAATTTTTTGGCTGATAAATTTATTCACAGACTAATATTTACATATACGAGTACATATGTATATATATACGTACATACATTTATGTTGGGCGATTTCACGGAAAATTGCTTCAGATTTTTTTAAGCAACAAATTCAAATTTAAAGTTCATTTTTTGCTACTTGTTTTAAGTAATGCAATTTCATTTAAATGCAAATTTTTACATTTTATTGCTAATAACAAATTTATATTTAAATATATAAGTATAGTGTAGTTATCTTCATCAATCAAATGTCAAAAGTTTTAAAAGTGTCAAAATTGTCGAAACTCAGTAATTGGTACATTTTGTTTGATTAAAATTTAGTGGCATTCAATTTTGTCAATTAAGCAAATTCAGTAAGATTTATAGCAGCTTACAGTATTATAATGAATTACAGTAATATAATGAATAAATCTCATTTATTGTATTATTCAAATGATAATAAAATTTTCATTTTATCTCTTATGCACATTATTTTGATTCTAAATCATATTTGTCACAAATTTCTGCATATTTCTGTCAACTTTTTAAATTTATTCGTTTTAATAATAAGTACTTTTTTACATCACCTTGTAAATCGTTTACATATGTATACACATGTTGTATTTTTGTATGAAACGAAGCGAAACGTAAAATCGCTAAGAATTTTATTTATTATTAAACAGAATTTTGTTTAAAAGTGTTATCAATTAAATGAATGCTTAACAGTGTAGCGATTAGATCGTACTCGTATAAGTGAATTCATTTGAGTTTCATACAAAGTGTTGATTAATTTTTAATGTAAGCTCATTTTCAGTTATTATAGTTAAATATGTATATGAAATATAATAAAAAAAATTTTAATTATTTTTTCTCTATCCTGTCAATAGTGTTTAATTAGAAAAATAATGACATGTTTCTTTGAGGTTACTACCTATACTGTCGTTTTTATAAAACAGACATTATTTCAATTATCGTATAGTGTGAAAAATTGCAATAGATTAAGAAAAAAATTTAAATATTTATAAGGTGGAATTAAAAGTCTTATATGCGTATTATGTATAACAAAAGAGTTGCCGTATAGTTTCATATAAAAATCGCAGCAAAAATGATGTTGCCGCAAACTATTGAAGTATTAATGCCTAAATACGTAAAACTAATATCAATATTCAAATATATTGTCAATGTCAAATAACTTATGATTGGTATCAACAATTAATGTGATCACCATTTGATTCAAAGAAAATTTAAAGTATGAAAACATTTTTACTCTTGTAATAAAAATCGTTTCAATTATTTATTATTTTTAAAAATAAATCTCATTTATTGTATAATTTTGCCACAATGAAATTTAATGATTTCAACAACTAAATTTAATGAACTTCTCGGTATTTTTTATCCGTTATTTAATGAAATGTTTATTATTATTTTTTTATTTGATGTTTTTGAGAATTTTTTTTAAATTTACATATATCGAAAAAAAGTCATATAGGTCATAACTTTTATATGTTATATTATTATTAAAAGTGCTAATACATAAAGGTCATTGAATTATCCTAAAAACAGAGCGAAACTATTTAAAAATGTGTAAAATAAAAATATTAAAAAAAAAAAATAATTAAAAACTTTTTGGTTTCAGGCTAAGAAATTTTAAACCAGTTGCAATAAATACGTTATTGCAGAAAATATATGTATACATATATGTACACGTATATCTGTTTCTACTTTGGGCAAAGTGTTTTTTCATATAAATTCAATATATTTAATAAATATAATACATAAACAATATCAAATGTTTCTAGTACGTAAAAATTTCTTGATTTTCTTGACCTAAAGATTTTTTTCATTTTTTATTTTTATTCATTTTAAAGAAAAACTCTAAGTCAGTAGACTTTTTATTTAAGTAATTTTTTTTTGTACAATTTAGTTTTAAGTATTATGAACTTTTTTCTTTCGTTTTTAAAATCGTATTTCATATTAATTAATTTAATAAAATTTTTTGTTGTGAATGAAAAAAAAACATTATGTTGAATAATAAGATACCGGAAATTATTTCGGAAATTAATAATTTTTTTTTTGTAAAATTGATCTTACATTTTTAAAAAATAAGTACCGAGTGTATAAGTGTTTATTATACTAGAATTGCTAGATTATGTACACAACTGTAGAAGCCTGAGGCATACATATTGCATAATAAATGGCTGATTAGATTTCATTTTATTAACAACATACGACAATAACCCATTTAAACTATAAAAAAAATAAATAATAAATAATTGCTTTTTGAGTGCCGTATTTATAGACCCACGATTAACTAATTTTAATTGAAATTTAAAAGGAGCTTTTCCCTGCTAAAGTATATAAAAAAAATATATACATATATACATTCAATAATTTCATCAAAAAATTAAATAACATTCATTAGATCAAATTTACCCAAACATGAAATAAGTTCTTTGAGATCTATTTTATAACCCATTCATACTGCAGATGTGGAAGACAATAGTAGCGTACATTATTACATTTTTTATAAAAATTCCTGTATAAAATTCTACAATGATTTTTTAAAATGTCATTGGATACGTAACCAGATTTTGATTTTAGTAATTCGAAATATACAGCGAATGTTTTATTGTATAATTACGATAATTTCAAATAATAATTAAGAAAAAATAAAATACCTACCTTGAATTTATTTTTGAAAAATAAAAATTTTAATTTTTTTTTATTTTTAATATATTTTAACACTTAAAAAATTGTACAATTTCTGGTTAATTCTGGGCTGATTTTATTATTTTTTATTATTTATATATAGCTATTTATTAAATTCAATTTTAATTATTCACTTTACTCGACTATTCATAAAAAATATTATTCAACAAATAAATAATATTTTTTTTTCAAGTTTAATATTTTCTTAACTTTTTTATTTTAAAATATAGTAAATTATTGAAATTTCATCTGAAAAAAAAAAAATTATTAAAATTTTTCTTTAATTGCAGTTCTTTAATTTAATTGCACTTTCATATATTCGAGATAGTAAATTTCTAAATTCATAAGATTATTGAATAAAAATTTAAGATGAAAAAAAAATAAGAATCGAATTTTATTATAAAAAAATTCATTAATATGTTTTTTATATTGAAACTTTAAATTTTATTTTAATATTTAACAATTATGACTTTATCTTCTAATTAAAATCCTTTAATTTTCTTATTATTATGTTAAAGTTTTAGAAATGTTTTTTATAACACTTTTTTAATACATTAAATTTAATATTAATCAAAATTGAACAAAGAAATTAAACTACAGTATAAAAATATCAATAAATAACTCTAAAATATTTAAGTATAAGAAGTGATTTAAATATTTTTGAAATTAAATTCAGAAAAAAAACCTTTTAATAATTCGAACTTAATACAAATAAAACAAAAAAATCCATTTATGTAAATTTTGTATAATGAGAAAAAATTATTTTTTTTTTTTAACTTTTAAATTTATCCGCGCACGCCCGCATTCGTACACATCTATACTCTATCTGAATCTCAGCTTACATTTGTAGTTGATATGAAAGTTCAAAAATATTTTTTTTTAAATTTTCTTATTCAACATTTTATTTTACTTTTTATAGTGATCTACAAAAAAACAAAACCACTGATATGCTATAAGAAAAACCACAAATAAAAAAGTACTCTTTGAAATTTTTTATTTTAAGTAACCGATCACCGATGTGTACAACAATTATGTTAAAAAAAATAAATAATATTATAATATGTAAAATGTAGCAATTTAGCAAATAATAACAAGTGATCGCATAGTGTGGTGAATATGTTGAATATATTTTGATTTTCTTTTTGTAGCTAAGCAACTGTTGTAATATTCTAAAATATTATTTGTAGTTGTATATACATTTGTGTACTGCAATGCCGTTGACATGTGAAACATAAAATTAAAGATTTTTGTTTTTTAATATAAGATGGAAAAAAGAAGTTTTGATTTTTAACCTTAAAAGTAGTTTCAAAAAGAGCTACACTATGCTATCTATCATCACTTTTACTACACTATAATGTGTTATTCATTATTTCGTACATAATGCTTATATACTTTAATAACAAGGAAAAATTTAATATATACCATAGTGTTATGCCACTATTGGTATAATCGCAATATGATACAGGATATCAAAAACATGCACTACATCATGATACTCAATACATGCACTACATGAGCAAAAAAATCTTTGCGAGTTGCAATGTCGTATGCATTTAAAAAATTGTAGCAATTGTTGTATAATGTCGCAAATGATAGTTATGTGTAGTTTTTATGTACATATGTATGTCAGATATCAAAATATTTTCAAAGTATAAGTAGGTAAATCGATTCAATTTAAATAATCAAAATAAGTGTACAAAGCTCACATGATAAAACACAAAATACAGTTTCAATTTATGAGTGAAGCATCTCAATTATATACATTTGCATATATGTAGGTTTTTACGTTTTATGCATATTAATAATAAGAGTGTTGAACTTAAAATTACACGTTGTCTTCTTAAAATATTGTAATAAGTACACTGTAAGCGGTAATCACTTAATAAAATTTTGAATAAATTAAAGTGTAAAATAAAAAAAAATATGATTACATATTTATAAATAATAACTTTTTTTGTTTTTTTTTTTATAAAATTATAATTATGGGATTTTTATATTCTTTAAGAATTTTGATCTCATGATGGAATTCATATTGTTTGAATGAGTGTGTATTATGTATTTATTGTTTTCTGTTCCATTCATATTTGAATATAAAGCTCAAATTAGGCGCCCCAAAAAAATTAAATGCAAAAATGCATGCAAGTATACTCAGTTTTAAGTATTTACGATCTACCTAGGTAATATTGGATTTTTTTTTAAAATATAGAAACTTGATTTTAAATTAGATTTTTGTGTTAAAATAATAATTAGCCATATTATACCCACACTTTTTCGATTTTGTGTTTTGCAAAATTTTTCTATAATTTACTTGAAAAATATAAAAACTTTTACTTAATATTTTTAGTAGACAGGAATTTTCCGAAAATGCAGTTTTAACTTCATTGAAAGTAACTCTTTATTTGATTGCAATGCACATGCTTTACAAGAGCTCCTTAAGCGATTTTTCACAAAAAGTATTCTATACATTAACGTATGTACATAGAGAATTTCAATTGGTGTGCAAGTACAATTTTTAAGAAATTTTGTGTAGCGTCGTATTTTTAATTCTGTAGCTGTGGTTACTTAATAGAAAAATTAAACAAAGACTGAATGACGATATATAGAAGATCCATTATAGCCAGTGCTTTTTTACAGTTGTTCCAATTTTCAGGATAGTGGCCACCTTTCACGTAGACACTCACACTGTAAAATATTTAGTTTTTATCCATAATTTTAATTCAATTTAGAATTGAACTTTATTTCTAAAACTAAAATTGTAAATGAACAATAAGAAACAATATTGTATACTAATATTTTTTGTTGTTTTTCAGAACCTTACATAGTTTTCAATTTAAATAAATGACAGCGTAAAATAAACCTAATCTGTTAACACTCTTGTAAAAACTCTTTACCTGAATGCGTTTGATGTTACGTTTACATCTAATTTTTATCTTTAAATCATAATAGTGTAATATACACGTAATTGATTGTCTAAAATCTAGATAATTTACGTTATGTATCTCTTTGAACAAAACTATGCAATAATTTTGTTGTTGACAATGTGAAATTATGCGATTAAATTATTTCTAAAGTATTTTTCTCTTTAAAATTTATACACCAGATTATACAAACACACGCATACATACTCGTACACATAGGTAATTGCCATTGTGTGTGAAAAACTCAACTCTTTCTTTTTATTGTAAACATTTATAACACTTATGCTTGATTTGAATGCTAATTAATTGGATGGATTGAATGCTTTATGGCAGAAGAAGTTATTCTTGGCTTATAGTTTCATATAAAAATGATGTAATTAACATACATATGTATAAGAAATTGTTAAATATTTGTAGTGTAGTGACATATTTGTATGTACATAATTGTACTGTGTTGTAATTTATAAAATTATAATTTGACTTGATTTTTGTGCTAATTCAATTAGTTGCTTTGAACAACAACTTGTTAAATGTGTTACTCTATTCGTATTAGAGATGTCATGCCAATAATATTTTTTGTGTAATATACAAAAAGAAGAATTCATTTTCTATAATTTCTATGCTTCCCTTAATTTTTGCACTCTTTGCCCTGGGATATGCAATGAAAAGATAATTAGTAATTTGTCATTTAAAATATGTAATTATACTATTTAAATAAAGATTAAAAAAATTTTCTAAATAATAAACTAGAATTAAATTAAAAATAATGACTAGACTCGAAAACATAAATAGTAAAATATTTTCTAAACAACAGTCATTAATAACAATAATTTTATTAATTATGTATATAGATTACGTGTTTAAATAAAATAAATAAATATGTAAAAAAAAGTCTGTTTCTTCCTTTGACATACCAACCCATATACAATATTTTCTATTTTCTCTGCTTTGTAATTCAAAATATAATTTTATTTAAGGAAGAACAGTAACAACATACCTTGGTTACTTTAGAGCGAAAAAGGATAAACTAATTATTGCGCAAACTCACTAAATTTGTTTTTGTAGAGGTAATAAAAACTTATGTTTTCCGTATTTATTTTTTCTTTGGCTGTATTTCTTAGAATTTGGCATTGAAGTTAGTCAACAATATCAGTCCTTACCTACCTTGCATTATTTATAATAATAATGTTTGTTATACATTTTATCACTTGAAAATTTTAAAAATTTCAAAAAAAAAAAAATTATTTTTTAGGCGTTATTTTCAATATAAATGAATTACGACTAAGAGAGTTTAGCTCATATTCTCTCATCGTAATTAAAGTAAGTAAGGAGAATAATATTCCGTATTCATTTGGCTTTTTCTAGAAATGTATAAAATTTAAGTCGCATTCAATTCACTGTGTTGTGTAGTCCCGACATTTTACAATTTTAAAAAACATTTAAAAACAAAATACGAAATATTTTGTAAAATACTTATAATGTAAGGTTATTCGCGGTTTTAGATTACGTAGCTGAATTATATTACCGCTTGCACGCTACAAACATAAGCTGACATAAGAAACATAATATTTCATAAGTTGAGCAAAACTCAACTCATCTTACTTCATGTATTCTCTCTATTGAAAAAGCAATGTTTGTGGGCTGTAAATATATTTGGTTGGCTACTCTATTTCGTATACATATACTGATTCATAAACATATACATTTGTTTTGTTTTCCCTTTCAATATATACTACACCCTTAGTTCATTCGCAGTTTTGTAGTTTAATTGTAGCAGTAGTTATGTTGCTTTTAATGAGAGTGAAAACATGACCCACCATAACTTTTTTTTTGTTCTTATAATTTTGATTTTTCTGTTTCCGTTTTTATTTTTCTTTTACCTTTTGTTTTGTTATTTTGAGTTTTCATGTGGATTTCATTTGCAGTCTTTTTTTTTTCCTTTGTGGTATTAAAATTTTCGTACTGAACACTATCTAACATAGGTAAATTTACTTGTGTTTTACTTTACTTTAATTTTTGCTTTCTTCTTTAAAAGTCTGTATTTTTGTGTTAAAAGTTGTTCATCTTAAATAAAAATTAAGTGAATTTAGAGAAAAGAACAGCAGATAAAGAAAAGAGGATGATAGAGAAGGGGGAAGTGAGGCAGAGAGAGAAGAAATAAAGAAAAGTGCTTTCTTATTGTTTTTATTAGCCCGCGCTTTTTTTGCTTTTCCCGGTTCTTATTGGATTCGATATCGATTATTTACTATGTATGATTGTATGCTTTTGTTCACCCAGCTTTATTTTTGTTTTTTTTTCCTTGATTTAAAGTACACGCGCGCACGAACACCAACTTTTTAATTTTTAAATTATAAAATTAATTTTTTAAATATTTTCAATTAAAATTGCATTTTTTTTAATAAACTTTTGGAAAAAGCTCAAAATCCATTGTTAATAAAAATAATTTTTTTTTTTGTATAATATTTTATAACTTTTTGTCTTCACCTTCATAATTTTTTTAAGCAAATCTCTCTAGTCTCCATAAACATATGTTCGCTCAATATTGAGTTGTGTTGTATAATTTATCATATATACATGTATACTCGTATAAGTATGTACAAAAGTTGATGGTATTGTCGAAATAAATTGCGAAACAAAAATATAAAAAAAAAATTTTAATGTTTTGTTGCTTTTTTGCTGTTTTTGTGTTATTTTTGTTTTTTTGTTGTGTAGTAAACTTTTTTGAATATTTTTGTTGAATAAAACGAGCGAATTGACTTTCTAGTTTAGTATAGATTGCGTATTAGACTGAATGTGTGGTGTGAAAATTTTTACTCTCCAAATTAAAACAAAAAATTCCTCACATAAATATTTTTAAAAAATATTAAAAAAAAAATTACTGTATTTAAATTAATTAATTAAAATATTTAAAAATAAATTGGAAATTTCATTAAAAAGAATAAAAAAAGAAAAAAATCTAAAAATAGTTTAAATAAAATTAGAAAAGTTTTATTTTATTTTTTTGTTTCTTGTTGCAACACAAATTGTTGGGGTTAATCACCTGCCTTGACACTATCTTCTTTGTTGTGTTTTGTTTGAATAAAATAAATAAATTGTAATATAACTATCAGCCCCATCTTTTGTGATTTTATGACATACTTACAAAATAATTACATTATTTATACATAAATAAAGTAAAAGTGAAAATTGACATTAAAAATTTGTTAAAATATGTAAATTGTCAGAAATTTATGTTATTCTAAATTGCTATAACAAATTTAGTGAGAAGAAAATTTTTATAATTTTGAAAAAGAATGAAATGAAAATAAAAAGTGTGATTCATTATCTATTTATAATATTTAAAACAAAAAATTAAAGAGAAATAATTAAAATTATTTTAAAAATAAAAATGTCTAAGAATCACAATGTCATCTGTAAAATAGAATGGAAATGTTTTTTAAAGAATTTTTAAAAATTCATTTTTTTATATGTGCTCACAACCTACTCCAATAGGTAATTAATGAGAAATGTTGGCAATAATCTAATAAAATAATTATTTCTTAATTTTTTATTAATTTTTGTTGATTTAAGCGCTATACTATTTTTAAATTTTAATTGTAATGCGTACACGCGCCAAATACTTACTTTTTTGTCGACGTAATAATCTTTTGTTGTTTATAATATAAAATGAATGTTCCTATTAAAAAAAATAATTATTGAACTTAAAATAAAACCTATGTATATAAAAAGCAAATTAATATGCCTTTTGAGCATAAAATGAAACAAGTGTAACTGGTTTTCCTTTTTTTGTCACATTTTTCAACTTTTTATTGTAGTTACCTACATAAGTACTGTAGATTTTAATTATTAATCTAAGGTACTAAAATATTCTAAATAAATATATAAGGTAATTGGATTTAACTCATAATACTTACGTTAAGCCGCTTTAAATAGTTAAAAAGATTTAAAATAAAAATTTGTTATAAAAATTTTGCAAAAACTATTTTATAAATCAGTAACTTTTTTTTATTTTTAAAATATGAAAATGTAATAATGTACACATAATGTTGAACGAAAAAGTTTTATTCTTATATCCAAAGGCGATGTTTGTGACGTATATGTCAGACCTTTGGGAATAATTAGCATAAGAAACATTATCTTTCGATGACTTCAGTCATTGGGTTCCACGCGTTCAGCTAACTTGACACTGTATTCTTACCATTTGAAAAAAAATTTATTAACATGCCATATTTCTACCGTTTTATTCTATTGCTATCAATCATATTTTCATAAAACTTAAGTCCATACAAATTTTTAAAGTGCTTCGAAGTATCGAGAATGCAAATAAAGTGATAAATTTTATAACAACGAAGTATTTCTTTGAACATGTATATAGTTACTGCACTGAAATACAATAAAAATAACTTTTAATTAAAAATTATTAATACTGAGATTAAATGTAATTAATGTATTTTTAGTAATTAAGTACAAATTTATTATTTTCTTAATTAATTATGTATAGAATACAACCTAATCACTAACCTTTTAGAGTAATTTCCAAAATAATCTATGTTTTAATGTCCTCAAAATTGCGTACATATATAAATATAAATATGTAGTAAAATAACTTTCACCACAGGCTAGTAAGTTGCTGATGTCATACTTGTCTTCGAAAGGATTGTATAACAAAACTATTTTTGTTTTATATAATTTTTAAAATACTTATACGTATATCACGTTGCTTAAAAACTTTTTATATGCGTACATATATATGTATACCAACATAAATTAGTAAAGAGTCGTAACAATACACTTAAAATACTTGTGTATTTTTGAATGTTTTTGATAACATTCTTAAAGACATTTAGTTAGGGGGGTACTTAAACATGTAATATTTTATTTAATTTTCTTGAAAAGTTTTTAATAAAATTTATAAAATATTCTTATGTTTTGATTTATAACTTTTATTTTATTAATTTGAGTGTATGGCAAAATAAACAACATTGTCCTAGTTTGTTTCAAAAAATTTCGAATTAGAGTTTCTTGCTTTATTACTATCTGTATATACAAAATTTTTATGCATAAGAACTATGCAAGTAGGAGTTTTTTATGCAAGAGTTTATATTATATACACACTTGCATAAATAAGTTACTCAGGTAATTTTAATCACCGATAAAATCGGGTTAATGATAACATTTATTAAATGTTTTTTTGATAAAAAAAAATTTCGTTATATCCAATGTTGCCATATCAATAAAAATTACTTAAAATTTTCCTACTAATTTTAATATAAGAAATATTTATAAAAATAAGGTTACTTCAAGGTTAAATTCTAAATACTACAATATGTTGCTTGGATAAAAGAAGAAAACTAAGTACGTTATTCTAAAATTAGCAATATTTTTTGTGATATTTAAATATTCAATTGAAATTATTATAAAATTTCATATTGTTATAGATAAATTTTTTAAGTATAAAAGAAACCTAGCAGAAATTTTATTATTTAACATACACCTTTAAAGTAAACATATTTATGTTACTTTAGAGTGTATCTTATATAATTTTTAGGAATTACTCTAAATAAAAGCTTTAATAAATATCTTAAATGGTTCAATAAGCAAAATAAGAAATTTGGAAAATGTCGATAGATTTTTTTTGACTGTATGTCTTACTGTTTTACTTGTACATAAAAAAAATTAAAATCTAGATCTGTTCCCAAATCATTTTCAAAAAAAAAAATTTCCAGTTTTCTTCTATAAAAACAATTAAAGGCAAGTTCAAAGAAAGTTTAACGTTTTCAATATTCTCATGACGAATTTTTTCAGCTTTATAAAACGATTAAGCTAATAAAAGAAATATAATGAAAAGTGTTGATAGACTCCGGTAGTCTAATGCTGCGATAATCCCAAATCAATAAAATTTTAATTGCGACAATTGTGATTTGCGCTCAGTAGCTACCTTTTTATAAACATTCTTAACTCACAAAAATTAGTAAATTTCATTTCGAATCAAACTCTCATACCACTATTCCACCGTATGTATATAAACATCGATTTTATCAAAGTAAATATATATATGAATGTACATAGTTTTGTGTTATATTTTATACATTGAAACGTAAATTGATTTACATAATGTAGGTACATATATATTTGGTTATTTTTGACCTTCCTCAATGATAAAATTGAAGTTTTGCTGAAGTTATCAAAATAAACATTTTATGTATGCATAAGCGTGTTATACTTACATTCGCATGAAAATAATACATAAATACATAAGTAAATTTAAACACATATTCATATACATATTAAATGATTGTTTTTGTTATAAACATAAATTATACCCAAATACCTAAAATGTTTTTGAAAGGGCCCACGTGTCTGATGATTTGAAGTACTTTTTTAATATATACTTTATGTTCATATAACGATTTTCTGTATAAAATATATATTTACATAGAAGTATACATAGGTACATTATGTACACGCAATATTTTATTATTGTTTTCATGATTACTAGCGCGCGAAAATCGTTGTGAATTAACGAAAAAGAAAATAAATAATAAGGGGAAAAAAATATAATTTTCATTGTTTTTGAAAATTGTGGATGTTTTTTTTATATATAGGAGGGCCAAACTCCTTAAAGAATTTCTACATATTAAGGATTTTTTTGTATATGTACATATGTCATTCAGTACGGAATCCTAAATTGCTGTTAGATGGAGCAATAGAAAACCAATTGTTTTCAACCGATACTTTTACAAATGCACAATAATTTTGTTAAGATTCAACGTATATTTTAAAAATAAATTTAAATTGGAGCTTTGCTGTCTTTGACAACCATAATTTGATAAATGTTTGGAGTAAAAAGTAATATTTATTGACAACTAAATACAAGTATGTATTCTCAAGGAATTTTACTTGTATGCTACAAATGACGGCAATAGACGGCAAACATGACAGATACGGCCACATTAAAAAATCTTGAATTTTAGGTATAACACTTCTTTCTTTTAACTCTTTCAGCATATCAAGCCTTTTTTAATGTATAAAAAACAAAAAAACAAGAAAATAAAAAAAAAAGTTTATTTTTATACTGTCCTGCAACCATAAACCTGACAATTTTAATTTTGTTTTTCTCTTGGGAAAGACCAGGATATTTTTGTATACCTTCATCTTGATTTCACATGAAACACGACTTAAAAATATCTATGTTAGAATTTTTCTAGATCTTAAAATTTGCCCTAATTAATTAAAATGAATTTAAACTTTATCAAATTTCATTAAAAATTTATAATAAATTTTGTTTTACAGATATGAACTCGATCCCGGTATACCCAAAAGTGGCCCCATGCCCATTACGTGCGCCATTGGTAGTTACAATTGTTGGTTTGCCATGTCGGGGGAAATCATTTGCGGCACACAAAGTTGCACGTCTTTTAAATTGGAAAGGTGAAATGGCAAAAGGTAAAAATCTTACAAAAAAGGTAACAAATCCCTAAATCCCTAAAATACATATTTTTTAATCACTTTTATCTAGCCTTTATCAATTTTATTGTTTAAATTTAAATTAAATACGGTTCCACATAATAAACCTTGTTAACTTGAAGAATATTGCCAATATTTTGCTTTAAGCAAATATTTTAATTTTTTTTAATTGAGAAAATTGTAATCGAAATACAAATATTTTTAAAATAAATATAAAAAAAGGTGGTTACCACAAAGGGGGCACCCGGGTTTGAACCGGGGACCTCTCGATCTGCAGTCGAATGCTCTACCACTGAGCTATACCCCCTTTTAAAATACTATTCAAAAAATGCCATACTAAAAGAATTTTTTTTTTTTTAAAAAGAAATTTTCTTTGTATTCAATTTTTATCTGAACAAATTTTTTGCCCACGCACTCACAAGTCTTTCATTTCAATATTTGGTGACATAATCAAATTTTCAAAAACAAAACCTATTTCACATACTCAAAAAAATTTTTATTTGAAGAGTAAGATCATGTTATTATACCATTATCAATACCGTTGGAAAAGATAAAATTACAGTGCAACTTCCGTAACTATTACAAATTCGATTAATTATGAATTCAAGACTACTTTTTCTTAATTTTACAATATCTTATGCAAAGTTATTGTTCTCCAAACTCGCATGAACTCATATTTCACTTCAAGTCCCTTTAAATCTCGTTCACTGAGTTAATGCTTATTTTTCAAAACTTTTAGTACAAGCCCCCCCCCCCCCCCCCCCCCCTATTTTTAACAAATATTAGACCATGCAAGAATATATTTCCTCAAAAAATAATCATACATAACGTAAGGAAACAAAATCAATCAAATATTGTTGTGTACCAAAAACTGTTTATGTACATAATTGTAATAAACACGATAGGTTCGAAATAATTTGATTTCACTGTTAATAAAAAAATTTTATAATTTTGAAGCTTTACTCACTCATATTATTATTCTTGTCTTATTCAAATTATGTGGAAATACATTTAGTGTTGTTGGGGGATATAGCTCAGTGGTAGAGCATTCGACTGCAGATCGAGAGGTCCCCGGTTCAAACCCGGGTGTCCCCTTATATATTTTACACAAACTATAGCATAACATTTTTTAGTATCTGCATATTAATAAAAAACTTAACATTTGACAAATTTATTACTTTTATTTACAGTATTTGCTGTTGAAACTAATGCCACCCCAGAAACATTGAAAGAAATTGTAGAATGGTTTGAAGCTGGAAATAACGTTGCTGTAAGTATAAAAACAAAAAACAAAATTTTTAATAAAAATGTTTAAATAATACAAATTTTAGATTATTGATGGAATACATTTAACACGTCAAACACGTCAATTTGTAACTGCCTTTACCTTAGAACGCATTTACCATCATTTAATTGTTGAATTTGATTGCGATGATGAAAATATCAAAACAAATATGGCCGAAATGATCAGTTTTTATGAGAAAATAGATAAAAATGTTAATTGGTCGAAATTCTTCACAGATAAATTAAATCAATGCTCTTCCAAATATGAAAAATGCACCCCACTTGAAAGTCCAATGATTACCGTTAATAATTCAGAAAATATTTATATGCATTCAGTAACAGCACGCGGTGTTCAAGGTTCTTTACAGACATTAATTTTAGGTGTTTTATCACATCCAGTTATTAGAGAACAGATATTTTATTTTAGTCGTGTAAGTATTAAAAAAGTAAAGAGAAACGTTAATTTAATATTATGAAAGAAATAATCTTAAAATTTTTTAATAAATAACTATTACAAGAATATTCTTTAATATTGTATGTAGCATGGTGAATCCGAATTCAATGTCCTTGGAAGAATTGGCGGTGATGCTGATCTATCACCTCGTGGTTGGAAATATGCTGAATTTCTAACACGGTTGTTTAGAGAAAACCAATTAAAACTTCCAGGACCAAAATTGGTTAGATAATTATGCAAATATACACAAAAAAAAATAAATAAAAATTAAAAAAATTCGCGTTTAACAATTACAATTTTATTGTTTTAGATTTGGACATCGGAATTCAAAAGAACACATCAGACTGTTAAAGATATTCCTGGTGCTAAAACTGCAGTTAATGATTTAAATGAAATTAATGCTGTAAGCAAAAATAAAACACATTTTCTAATATGAAAAAATAATAATTAAACTTTTTTTTGTTTTTTTAGGGTATCTGTGAAGGCTTAACTTATGAGGAGATACAAGAACGTTTTCCACAAGAATTTGCATGGCGTGATCAGGACAAATTTAAATATCGTTATCCACATGGAGAATCATATTTAGATCTGTTACAAAGAATCGATAGCGTTATACAAGCTCTATTAACAAAAACTCAAGTATTGGTTGTGTCGCATCAAGCCGTTCTTAGATGTATCATGGCCTATTTCCATGGAACAAAACCAGGTAAATTTTAAGAACATTCATTACTTTAGCGAATTTCTTTTTCTTTATTTATTTTATTAAAATTACCTATTTTTAGAACAAGTGCCATATATAAATGTTCCATTACACACATTACTTGTTGTACGCACAAATGGTTATAATTTTGAAGTCGAAAAAATCCCATTAAAAGTTGAATGTGTTGATACTTATAGAAATAAACCTCAAGTAAGTTATGGGCTTTTGTGATTTTAGGTTTATGTAAATTTACTTTTTTACTCAAAACAAAAACTAAAAAAAATAGTTTTATTATCATTGAAACCATAATTTTTACAACATGTTATTCGCATTGCATATGCCTACATTCAATTAAGTTCATAGAAATAAATTCATAGAAAATTATTTGATTATCGGTCTTAAAATCAATATTAAATGTAATTTATTTTGTCAATTTGATCGAAAAATAAATAACGTCTATTATAAAATCAATCTTTATTGCTGACATTAAAAATTTATTGCACATTATAAAATTATTTATCAAAAACTGATAAATGGTAAACTTAATCTTGATTCAAAACTACATTTATCTTTTTTTTGTTGCATTTATTATTGAACACCATAAAATAAATCATATATTCAGTCGCACATGTTTTTGATTATATTTACAAGGCAAAAAATTATATTTCTACATTAAAGATAAATATTTATTTTTTTTTATTTTAGAATTGCAATGTTGAACGTACAAGTACCGATGCATTGACAACTGTACCTAAACATTTTGATACATTATTACCTCAACCGGCTCTAATAAACTGAATTAATCGAAGAAATTGACAAAAAAAGCAGCCAAACACAATATAAGACTATCAGCAATAAATTAAGATATAAAAATTTTAATTGAAAAAAAAAAAATTCTATTACAATCGTATAAAATTAAAATTTTTAAATTTTTACAAAATTGAACGTAATGATTGAACATTATTAGCTTTTGTGTACCGTACTTTATTTGATTTTCTATCCAAAAAGAAGCAATATTAAAAAATTATGTTTTATAAAAATTATTGACGTTCATCACAATTTCATCTGTATTCTCTTATTTTATACTAACCAATTTAGATATGATTAAGTTTTATTTAATTTATTTTAAATATAAAATTTTTAATTTTTTTTTATATTTTTTTTCACAAGCTAACGTCTAAGTAATTATAAATTTTATATGAAAATGTAATTTTTGCTCACATTTCCATGTAAAACAATTGAAAGTTTAATTTTAATCCAAAAAAAATAAAAATATGGCGAACAAAACATATTTTCAATAAATTCTTTATTTTGTTTTGCATTGAATCGTGAAATTGCAATTTAATATTAAGATTAAACTAAAAATAACTTGTAAATTTAAAATTTTTAATAATATCAAAAAAACACAAATTTTTTTATTCGATTATATATGAAAATTAAAAAATAAATTTAATTAAACTTAAATTGAAAACAAAACGAGTCAAAGTTTTCTAAAAAATTTAAAAAAAAATAGTTGTAAGACAAAAAGAAAAAAATCTATTCATGTTTAGTTTATTTTTTGAAATTAATATTTTTTATATTTTCGCAATTCACATTACAAGTCGGATTGTAATTAACTTGTATTTGAGGACCTTAAGTAAATAAAATAGAAAAATATTAGAGAACCCAATAATAAAATTGCAATAAAATTTTTATTATCCAAAATTAAATCAAATTTTTAAAATAAAAATATTTAAAAATTTAGTTGTAAGAAAAAAAAGAAAAAGAGAATCATAATTTAATTTTTATTATGCATTTCAATATTTTAAATTACATTAAACAAAAATCAAAATTTCTTAACTTTTTGAGCTTGTTCTTTTATTATTAATTTTGCATAAATTATTTTTTTCATTAAAATATTTATGGTTTAATTACGGCATATTATGGTTTAATTTTTTTCATTGCTCTATAGATTTTATATTTAATTCGATATTTATTTAATTTTGGTTTAATCGTTATTGTTAAATTGATGAATTTCAAATTTACAAGATCTAAAATCGTTAAACAAAAATCTTAAAATTTCTTAAAATTTCAATTTTAAACTTTATACTTTAAATTTGATTAAATTGATACTTTAAATTTTTGCCAATTTCGATTATTAAACAATTTAAAGTTTTATTAAAATTAATAACATTAAATTATATAATTAGTTTTTATTCAGATTAAAAGAAAAAAGTTTTTTTTTTTTACATTTCTCAAAATAATAAAAGAATAAATTATATAGTAATATTTAAATAAAATTTTAACACCTGAATACGTAAAATTGTTGAAATATGTAAGAAAAAAATTTTATTTTTTATTTTATCAGTAAAATTTTATAATATTAATTAACATTCACATTACTTATACTTATGTTTCACATATTGTTTATATTTGATATTATTAATGAATAGTTACACTAATTAGAATAAATTTATTATGCCTGTAAATAAATGCACAAACTTTTCATTCGTTATGTGTTCAAATATCTTAAAGAGCTATTTATTAAATAGAACTTTGTAAGTTAATAATAAAGAAAATGTTTTCAACGAATTTTTTCATTAATTTTTGCAAAATTAAATTATAAAAAAAAATAACGAAACAAATCTAAAATAAACAATCAAATGCTAGATTGACTGTAAGTTATGAAAAATGTTAAGAATAATATTTCGGGTACAAATTTAAAATTACATAAATGAAATTAAAGGAAAACAATTTATAAAATGTTGAAATATTAATTTCAAAATAACATGAATAGAAAACTTCTTTTATAAATTTAAAAAAAAAACTGTAATTATATTTCAATAGATTTCTCAATTAATTATGTAATCTCTTTTAAAAAATTAGTTTACATTGTATGAGATAAAAGTTATTATTTACTAATACCATTTATAAAATTTTTAATATCGAAATTTCTGTTTTGATGTGTTAAAATAAGATGTAAGAAAAATGTAAACTGATTTTTAAAATTTATTTTAATTTTATATTTAAATACTATTCTGCATTAATTTTAATTATTTTATTTTTTTAAAAATATATGTATATTAATAGATTTATTTTATTTTAATATTATTATTAATTGTACATTACAAAGAAATCGAAAATCAAATTGCATTTTTTAATTGTATTATTTAATAATATTTAATAAATAAATAATTTAGTTTTAAAAATAACTTTTTTTTATAATTTTTTGCGTAATGCCTTCTACTTAAATAGTATAAAATATACATTATATATATACATAAATATTTACGTGTATATAGATAAAATAAAAAATCCATACAAAAATTTTAAAATTACATCATATATGTAATTAATTGTAATTAAGTAGTCCTAGAAATAGTATATGATTACATATATTCAATTTATAATTTTAATTTTGAAATTTCATAAAGAGTAAAATAAAATATTCTAAAAATGCACAAAGCACAAACTGTTAGATAATGAAAATTTTGAAAATAGCAGTTCTTCGAATAATAAAAAAAATTAAACAAAGTTCCATTACACAGGCCACTAAAAAATATGAACGCTATTCAAAGAAAATCACATAAAAAGGAGCTGATTTACTACTTGTGCAAGTCTGCATGCAATAAAAATCTCTTACACTTTTTCCTACATCTTCTGCACATTTATATTTGCTAATGTGCTATAAAACCAAATTTAAAATGTTTGTTTATAAAATGGGATGGAATTAGTGGCTACGCTATTATTATAAATTTTAAATAAAAACTTGTATACCTTATACATATATATCTGTCTGTCTCGATCTTTTCAATGATTTTATTCAAGAACAATTTTTAAATGGAAAAAGATGAACATGCATGAATATATAATTAGTACATACATATCGCAAAAAACGGTAGTAAACCTGTAATTTAATTTTAAATTTTTAAAAATTAAAGTTTGAAATTTGATTTCTTCTTACAACAATTGAATTTTAATTTTTTTTTAATTTAATTTGATAATTACTTATAAATTAGGTTATTTGAATTTTTGTATTGCCACATATTGTATATCAAATTAAAATAATATGAAATATTGCTAGTAAAACTTTTAAAAGTTTATGTTATTTAAAATTTATTATCATTATTGTTAACTATAATTATTACTATTATTGTTATTTTCATTATTACTACTATTGTGTCGAGTTAATGGTTGAATTAAAGAATGCATTCGCTGAATCCTAGATATTATAGAATTCGGCAACGCAAATAGCACAAGGTGATTTTCATATCATTGAATCGAATTAATAAATTTTTTTTAACTTGTTCAATTACTTATCATTGAAATTTAATTAATTTTCTCTCTATTAACAATTGATTAAGTTTACATTTCTTTATTTTTTATAAAAAATTTATTTTAAAATTGATTGAAATTGAAGTTAATTTTAATTATTATAAGATTTGCTTTTAAGATTAATTATTTAAGAAAATAAAAATACGTTGAAAATTAAAAAAAATGAAAAAAAATAAGCAGAGTAATAATTATATTTACATCACATAATTACATTTTAATAAAAATATTATACAAAATTCAAATGTTTTATACATAATATACATACATAAGTTTTAAAAAATTGTATATACAATACAAAGGTATACATATATTTGGAGATATGCAGATGTAATAACATATGTTAAACAGATGGTATCTACCAAAATGAAGATCCAACGTCGACTTGACTAGCTCAGCAATTGAACTTGTATTGCTGAATAAAATAAGTCGACGTTAGATCTGCATTTTACTAGATGCCCAAAGTCTATTGATATCGATTATTTACGCATAGATTGATAGTGTGGTGAATATCTACATTATATGTATATACATTAGGAAATACAGAAATAGTAAGAGCATAAAAATGATTGATTGAAAAACAAAACAAGTACCATTGTACCATTGTACCATGTACAGAAAAAAATTTTATTAAGAAAACTTAAAATAAATCATAGTAACTTTAAAAAAATATTGTTTTTGAATTTGATCATGATATATGTACATACAATGATATATTACATATGTATGTAATGCGTCTAGATGAACTAACATAAGAAAAATTTTCCTTTTCCTCGGGGGTCTCAAATTGCCTACGGTTCTTTTCAGAATTTTTCATTGTTTCTCACTCTTTATACTTTACATTGACGCAAATTATTCTTTCGGGTAATAAAAATCGCTTGCTGGGATTGGTGTCATTGATTTATGAAAAAGTTTGTAAATATTTTTATTTGTATTATAAAAATGTCATACCTAAATTTCTTTTATGGAGTTGCAAGGTTATTATTTTTTTAACCAAGAAAAGAATGGAACTTTAGAGCAGATTTCTAACGAAATAGCAAAAAACTTCTCAAAAAACATAGTTTTACTTTCTCTAAAAGTTTATAGCTAGTAAAAAATTTTAAGAAAAATGTTATTCTTTCCTTAAACAACATGCAAAATTACAATGCGATGACTTTTATTTCCCCTTGCTTAAATGTTTCTTAAATAAAATACTTGTGAATGTATGTATGAAAGCACTCGTAATAATATTTATAACCAAAAAGTGAAAGTCTTATTTGCTTGACCTCGGCGTCAGCAATTTTTTAATTTTAAAATTATGCACGACATTCATAGTGTATTTTGTGTTTAATATGAGCTTTTGTTTTTTTTTTAAATTTGCAGAAATTGTATAATAATTACCTATTAATCTCAATACGCCTGAGAAAACTTTATTTTTATATTACCATCACGCGAATAGTGTTGAGCATGCTCAAAGAAATATTAGATGTTTTTGGTATATTATTTTTTATTTGGATCACAACATAAACTTACTTACTGTTAAGTTTTTAATTTTATAAAATGTAGGTGCACATAATATTTACATGTGTTATTATTAGTATTTATATGCATGCACATATAATTTTGACAAAAGTCAAGAAAAAAATAAATGTAAAACAATTTCGTACTAAAGAATTATTATTTTGTACATAAATGTTTTAGCGAAATTAATACATAACAGTATCAAGAACTTTTTTTTAAATTACCTTAAATTTTGAACCTAAATGTTAAATCTTTTTTATAGTTATTTTAGGCTGTACACATTCTATTTTTTTTCTGAAATCCTTTATACATTATTATTAATTGTACAGACGTGCAATATTGCAATTTGTGTGAAATCATCAATAGCAAAATTCACAAATAAGAATTTTTCCTACAACTTCCTACAAAAAGTGCAACGAATATTTTAGCATTACTACTATGTTACGTTGGCAAGTTTTAAATTTTTCATGCCAGAAACAAAAATGCATGTTGCATAGATTGAAAATCTTAGTCACATATCAACATATATTTTTTGCAGAAAATACATATGCCATTTTTTATAACATAATAATGTGTTAGAAAGAGCCAAATAGAACATGATTTTTATTTATCTATTCGTTTCGCCGGTGTAAATCTGCTGCCCTTGATCATGGTCATTCTGCATAGTGAAATTATTGCCAAGTTGTCTCATCCAATTATTTGCGTAAATGGTATGTTTACAACACATTTCGTATAAATTGATCTGATTTGTGTAAAATTAACTAATGTCACACTTTAAAATATTATACAAATATTATACTTTTCGTAAAATTTTAAAGTAATTGGAAAAGTTGAGTTCAAAATGATTTTTTATTGAAAGCTATGTTAGCATTTTTAGTTTGTTTTAATAAATAATTAATGTTGCAGTAATTTGGCAATACTTTTTGTTTGTAGTTCGAAAGACTTTTTAACTTCGACATTATTAGAAGACTGTCATTCGTCTTATTGAAGCGAAGGTGTTGAGTTGTATTTTAAAAAGTAAAAACAAAAGTGAGTACTTTTATAAAAATATAAATGCATTGAAAAAATAATTTTCATATTAATTAATATTGAAATTTTTCAAAAAGAAAAAATATTTTAACAAAAAGCCTTAAGGGATTGATAAATAAATTTCGCCCTTATTGTCAAAAAATCAAAACCGAATTGCAATGTTCTAAAATTATTTAAAGTTGTGTAATCATTAATAAATATTGTAAATGAAATTTTAAAAATTATTTAATGAGAAAGTGATTTAAAACCTAAATTATCATTTGTTTTCAAATCAAATTGTTGATCCACGTAAAATTTTAATAGCTATTTGAGAAGATAAAATTTTATGACGACGTTGACCTTATTTCGACCTTGCAACATTGGGTAGAAATTTTCAATAAATTTCAAAGTAAAAAAATCTCTTATATGAATTAAAAACATTAAAGGAAAATTTTGTGTTAAAAAAGGAATCTAAATAAAAGTTTCAACTATGTAATTATGATGGAGCAGCAAATACATAATGAAACCTTGCTTTAAAAAAAATGATTTAATTTGCGTTTTAACAATGGTGAAAGAAAAAACCCCGAATTATTAATAAGTGAAAAATATTTCGCGTAAAAAGTATAATATGCAAATAATGTGGTTAAAATTCAAGATTTATTCTTGAAAATGTTTTTTAAAGAAGCCATTTTGAGCCTTACATTTCTTTTTCATGTAGGGTAGGTACATAGTCTATCTCTGAAATCAAAGAGAAAGAGTTATATTGCACTCATTGCGCATGCTTTGAAATTATAAACTTAAAAATTGAATGTATGTACCTATCTAGATATGTATATTTTTCTGATCACTATTCACCTTGATTGGCTACGATATTTTATATGAAATATATAACAATGTTAACATTTCGGTACATAAATATTTTTGTCAGATAAACCGGCCAAAATAGTTCATATTTAGTTGTTATGTAAGTTTCTACTGAATTGTGAAATATTTAAAGTCAGTCTAAAATTATTAACTAAATAAAAATATTATTAACTAATCACAGCGGAATGCCTATCTATAAATGGTTAATGACAATGTCAAATAAAGGTCACTCTTATCAGAATTTTAGATTTCTGCTCTTTGAGAGTCTTGCATGTGTTTCAATGAGCTATGTATTGAGTTTTTTTTTCTTGAAAAATCGTTTGGAGTTTACATAAATAAAAATTGTTTAATTTTTTTTTTAATTTAATTGTACGATATCCAAAACTGTCTGATTTAAAAAAGGAAATATATGGTCTTATAGGAAAATTCAAATATCAGACAATTTTATGTTACAAACTAAAATACCATCTTGTTTATCTTTTTTTTGTACTGTTGCAATATTTAATTTTATTTTCTTTTTTTTTAGAACTATTTAAACATGTCTAAAATTGGTATTAATGGATTTGGCCGTATTGGTCGTTTGGTATTGCGTGCCGCAATTGACAAAGGTGCCCAAGTTGTTGCAGTAAATGATCCATTCATCAATGTTGAATATATGGTTTATTTGTTCAAATATGATTCAACCCATGGACGTTTCAAGGGCACAGTTGCTGCCGATGGTGATCATTTAGTTGTCAATGGTCAAAAAATCAAAGTATTCTGTGAACGTGACCCTGCCACTATTGACTGGAAATCAGCTGGTGCTGAATATGTTGTTGAATCAACTGGTGTTTTCACTACAATTGAAAAAGCTTCAGCTCACTTCAAAGGTGGTGCCAAGAAAGTTATTATTTCTGCCCCATCAGCTGATGCACCCATGTTCGTTTGCGGTGTAAACTTAGATGCTTATGACCCAAAAATGACAGTCGTATCAAATGCAAGTTGCACAACAAATTGTTTAGCTCCTTTAGCTAAAGTTATTCATGATAACTTTGAAATAGTTGAAGGTTTAATGACAACTGTTCATGCTACAACAGCCACACAAAAAACTGTTGATGGTCCATCTGGAAAATTATGGCGTGATGGTCGTGGTGCTGGTCAAAATATTATTCCAGCTGCAACTGGTGCTGCTAAGGCTGTCGGTAAAGTTATTCCCGCTTTAAATGGTAAATTAACCGGTATGGCATTCCGTGTACCAACACCAAACGTATCAGTAGTTGATTTAACAGTTCGCTTGGGCAAACCAGCATCATATGATGCCATTAAACAAAAAGTTAAAGAAGCTGCTGCTGGTCCATTGAAAGGTATTTTGGATTATACTGAAGAAGAAGTTGTATCAACAGATTTCCTCAGTGATACACATTCATCAATCTTTGATGCTAAAGCTGGTATTCCATTGAACGATAACTTTGTCAAATTGATTTCATGGTATGATAACGAATTTGGTTATTCAAATCGTGTCATTGATTTAATCAAATACATGCAATCAAAAGATTAAATCTATATAATATATAATTAATGCGCAACGAAACTTGCACAACATCATCAACATTTGACAAATAATGGAAATATAATTTAAAATAACATTTTATAAATTGAAAATCACCCACACCACCAATTCAAAATAATATCAAATAAAATAAAAAAGTTATATTTTAAGAAAAATAACATCTGTTTTTAAGAATATAGCAATGTTTTGTTAACTTATAAGTTATTAATAAATCAAAATTAAATATTGCAAAGATCGCAATATATTATATACAAAATATTATAAATAGTTTCAATAAATTAATAATTAATAGATATTAAGATGAGTTATAAAAAATAAAAGTTACCAAAACATATTTTTTGTTATTTTTTTTGTTTTTAAAACAAAAAATGTTATACTTATTTTTTAAAGATTTAAAAAAAAAAAGAATTTTTTTTTAAACCTAAAACCCAAACCTTGAGGGAGGTTTAAAAAATAAAAAGCATCCATAAGTATTATGTCTTGATAAGATCTGCGTAATAAAGATGCACGTATAGGGTATTTTTCATAAGCAAATGACTTCAGATATAAAAGGAGGAACACATGATTTTAAATAAAATTTTTAAACTTATTGAAAATTAAATTTGAATTGAAACTGTCGCGAAAATTATCGGACACAGTTTATAAGTTTTGATGAAAGAAATGTGTAAAAAGTCGTCTTAAAATTTTATGTTCTAGGTTTAAGAAAAAAATAATGTTGAAGATATAAATGAATCCTAATTTAAGTGTTTGAAGTAAAAAGGAATTCTTATTTTGCAAGCCCTTCTATAAAATATTTGGAGGCAATGTTTCCATTACAAAATATTTAAAATCGGAATGGTTAAGCAAAAACATGTTAAGCAATTGTAATGTATATGCTATATGAGATTGATAAATTTTGGTGGGATTTGATGATTGCTTGTGTTACTCTCAATTTTGATTCTCTATTTTAAATATTGTATTCTGCATAATAGATACATGTAGGGGTTTTTTGGATAAATCCGAAATGCTCTTAAAGCTTTAGCTTAAATTTTAATTTTTTTTTGTATTATTTCATTACAGATCTCCTGGAACTAATTAGTTAACTTTTTTAGATTTTTAATATATGTACATTTTTGTATGTGAATTTTTCAAACTTGGAATATTTTTGCAACATTTAAAAAACATTCTTTAAAAATGCCTTAGAGCTTTAAGCATGTTGCGAAAATCGCACGTGCTTCTTTTGTAGTTTTGATTTATCGAACATGCTTTGTATAAACATCTAATTAGAACTGAAATTTGATAAATCAGATTTGAGTGTACTCCAATTATAATCGTATATATACCATTGCTTTGAACTGTATATGATTATGTTCATATTCGTCTTCAATAGTGAGGATAAATTCGAAGAGGTAAAGTATTTTTTCGTTTTAATTAAAGGCGAAAATCTTTTATGTTTTCTTGTAATAATTGTATAAAATTATGTTACCCCATCCAATAAAAATAAACACACTACATAATTACATATTGCATTTTAAAAACATACTTTTATTTTATCTTTTCAACTATAAAAAAAATTAAACAATAAGTGAATTTTTGGCAGACACATAATTAAATATACGTATGTATGTATGCAAATTTTAAGATAAAATTGTTCATATTTAAAATATGTATGTAATTTTATAAACATTTTTCTGTCATGTAACATTTTTCATATTTTTTGTTTCATCTTTAAATCTACTTTTTGTTTTTACTAATTCTTCAATAAAATACATGCTTATCTAATATCAAAATATTGAATTACATCTAGTAAAACACTTTAATTGTTTGTAAAATATAAACTTTGTTGCTAAAAATCACATAATGTACTACATAATACATTTTTTATTTTATACAAAAGATATGAGCAATTATTTTCAATATTTGTTTCTACTTTTTTTGTTTTTAAACAAATTTCATACAATGCGGAATGATTAAAAAATTGTTATAGAAAGGATAATTAAAATTGGTTTTGAAATCGTCATACGAACTGCTAAAAACAATAGATATACATATTATGTATGTATGTATGTCAATGGGATGTGTAAACCTTAAAATAGCAATGATTTTCTTTTGGATTTTCGAAAGAGAAAATGGAATGAGGTTGTCTTTTTGATTTTTTTAATTCATAGAAATTGTGATATTTTAATAAATCAATTTGGAATTGTTATAACCGTATAACTATTGCAATTTTCCATTTAATTTGTTAAATACTCAAATAATTCTTATATAACAATTACTTTTATTTGTATGTATATTCTAAATTCTAATATTGTATGACTAATATAATTTAAGTTTCGTATGAAATATAAATTTCTTTTTCAATAAAATTTTCATTTATAAGTTTGTAATCAATAATCGTTAATAAAAAAAGTTGTAAAAAATTTTCCTAATTCAGGTATTAATATTTTTTTAATGAAAATATTATTGCTTTTATTGTTTTATTGGTATAATATACGTAGATAGAACTTATTTTTTAATTCCAACTAATTTCAGTTTTTTGTATAGAATTCAATAAATTTGGTACAATTAGTATTTTTAAAAAGAACACATATTTTTTTACTTTGCACAAATTACTTTCCAAGTTTTTCTCTAAGCCATTCTTCTGTAAGCTCATCTAATTCTCGAATTTCGTAAACCCGTGTTAAATCAATCTCCCTTTGCAGGGTTGTTTTAGTGCAAGCGTACATCATTTGAAGCTCAATCTGAAAAAAAGTTAATAGCTCAAATATTTTGCTTTCACAAATAAAATATATGTAAAAGTTACCTGGCTGTCTCTTGGTGTATAAAATATGAAACACATTGGATACGATATCCGGTCATCATCATGTTTCATCTTGTATGTATAAATTACAAATCTTGGTTGATGTCCCGGAAGCTGCTCTTGTAATTCTTCAACCGATATATCATCAAGGAATTCATCAAGAATAACTTTTTGTTTCTCTCTATCAACTTTGACTATAATATAGAAAAAGTTTTTTTTAATACAAATTAATAATGTAGACCTTCGAATGTAAATAAAATTATCATTGAAAATATTTAGCAGTAATAAAATAAAATTTCAAATTCACAGAACATTGTAAATTAAGTGTTCGTACGGATATCCAAAAAGAGTTTACCTCAATTAATTTACATATAATCGTTTGATCTCCTTTATTGAAGTGAGCCACTAATTTACAAGTGTTATACTAAAAAACAATATGTATTCACATAATGTTATGTCTGTCTATACATATGTATACTATACATACAAAGGTTAAATTGTATTGCAAAACAATGTTGAATTAAAATTATACCGAGTCAACGTTCATTATGAGTCATATAATTTTAAAAGCTAGAATTTTACTTAAGATATTTTTGTTTTATTGATTTAAGTACATACATATTCAGCTGTAAATTTGAAATACAAAATATAATGCTTGGCAGTTAAATGTTCAAAAATTTAATTGTTTGACGTTCGTTTTTAATTATTTAGGAAATCATATTTTTAATGTAATATTCAAATTCAATTTGATCATGCTGTATTAGTTGTATTTACTGCGTAGAGTATCTTAAAAAAATTACGAAAACTTCTTGCTTACAATTATAACCTATTCCGTCATATTTTCCGTCAAAAAGAAGGAATGAACAAGTATTATTCTTTCATGTTTGGTAAGACTTCTAAACGGGAAGTTTTCATTTAACAAAAAACTACATATTATTATTATTATATACATATGTATGTACATAAACACATAAATATATGTATGTCACACTTACGTATCATTGCTGAATTATTGGTACTTTTCCTGAATCGAAATTTTCTTAATTCTTCCTTAACTTCATCACTTATATCACATATTTGACTTTCACCCTAAATAATAAGATACACACATTATGTATATAAAATTTTAAATTTGGAATTAATTCTTAAATTTTAAAAAAATTCAATACGTTCACTGATTTTAATGAATCACTTTTAGAAACAAAGACAAGAAACAAATTTGTTATCGGCACTATTAAGAACAATAATCAGGTATACTCCTTACCATTTTATTTTATTGAAATTCGAATGTTACTTTGATTTATAAAAACAGGATGTTTCAATATTGTTAAGTTAATTTTATTAAAATTTTATATTTTTAATTCTCGTTTTCAACCCTATAATACACTACACCCACAAACTAAACACAAATACTTTATGTTTGCATATGGTTATCTATTAGAACCGTATTGCTGTCAGTAGGTTCGTTGACGTTAAGTACAATAATCTAACCTTAATGTAGTACTTATCAACATAGTGGTGTCGATTATAACAAAAAGTATCTAGAAAAATTCTAATACCAAACTGTTAGTAGTGTCGTTTTTCTAATAGATATTTCATTTTTCTAATAAGAGAACTCTTTTTTCAATTGGTATTTTGTATTTTTCCTTAAATTATTCGCCTTAAAAAACAAAGCGAATAAACTTTGTATACTTTGCTATATTTTAGAAAAAAACGAAAATTATATTATACAAATATATGATAGTTTGATAATATATAATATTCACTTTCTTCTCACTTGCCCAGTAAAACAGCGAGATATACGACCGGTTAATTATAGTATACAACGTCAAGTGCTTCAAATAATCAAAGGTTTTAGTGATATTTTTTTATAAAAAAAATAAAAATGGGCAAGGGTAAAATACAAAACTATAAAAATTACGAAGGAAGAAAAACAGAAAAACAAATTACTTAAGTTTTTTAAGCTTCTCAAAACTGAAATTTCGTATGGGAATTTGTGCTATAAACAAACATTGTTCTATGAATGCGGCAAATTTGTTCAGATCATTTTGTAGAATCGGATTATTGTTTAAAACATATTTTATTAACCACATCGACAAAATAAAAACAATTAACGGAAGAAGGATATTCTAGATGCTTTTTGCATGTAAAAAAATGTTGTTTTAAAGTGGATTGTTTTGCAAGTATTTCCCTTTATAGAGCGAAGATTTGATCAACAAAAAAATATATGAAGACGGTGTGATATCGTTGAATGCAGAAAAATAAAATATTAGTGTGAATTATTCATAAAGTATATTGTTTTAGAATGAATAAATATGTGAAACTCAGTTAATTAATAAGGAAGTATACGACAACATATTATTCTACTTTTTGTCTACTTTTGTCAGTAATAACTAAATATTAATTAAAATTTGTTGAAAACAGCATAATTTTGGAGCTATTTTGTATCCGAAATTTAAAAAAACTACTGAAACGTTACTGCAACATTAAAAAATGTTTTGCCAGCTTTATGTTCATCAACAAAAGGTACATTGCAAGTAACACCCAAAGCAGTACAAGATATCAAAAAAAATATGTGAGCGTCGTAAGGTATTATAATATAAAAATATGTGTACATATGTATGTAATTTCAATTTATAAAATAAATTTATTCAAAGAGAAAAAAATTAATGAGCTCTGTTTAGATTTGATTGTTTATTTTTTTAAGATATGTATGTATTTCAAATGAAAAGATATTTTAAAATATTTTTTATTTTTATTTAAAAAAAAAATTCAACCTATAAATTATACATATTTACAATAGAGGTCAAATAAAAAATAACATAAACACGCCTCTGTTTAAGTTTTATTTGACTTTGACAATGCTTGGAGCAAAGAAAGAGACAACTAGAAAGAATTTAGCTTCACTGTTTTTGCAAAAAGCTCCCTTTTTTAGTATTTCTAATTCGTTGACACGCGTAGGTAATACATTCCATAAAGAATGAATTAATTTGTAAAAAACAATTCATAATTTATGAAATATTTAAATATTATTACATGAAATTTTAAACTTTATACTGTTTGTTAGGTAAAACCCTTATTTTTATGAAATGAAAAATAAATTTTGTTTTTATTAAAATAAAAATCACAAAATTTTCAACTAACTTATTTACTTTTATTTCGTTTCTATTCACATACTACTTGTTTACAATATTTTGTTTTTTATTTCCACATATTTCTTAATAAAAATGAATATTTTAAGAATATGTAGTAGAAAGTGGCATGTAAAGAGAAACTAACCGCTTTGAACGAGTCTTACTACTTCTTAAATGGATATACGAGTACATACTTTGATTTTTATAAACTCTTAATTTTCACAATATTCAAATTTTTTTCTCCATTGGCATGTAAAAAAAAAATCAAAAATTTATTAAAAAAAGTTTTCAAAAAAGAACATTTTAGTCAATAAAACAAAAAAATATAAATTTTTTATGTTTATAAATATAATATTTTTATGTTAAAAATTTAATTTAATTATATGTATGTATTTAACTCTTTCAGAATGAACCAATTCAAAGATGATGATGTACATACTTATGTATGTATTTCTTTACTTATACGTATGCCTTCAATTCTTTAATTATATTTTTAATTTATTTAACATTATACATACTTTTTTATACTTTTCGATTTGAACGAAAACGTTACAAAAATTTGCATTTGTGGAATTCTATATTGTGCATGTGAAGGGGGTGGGAGAAAAATTTTTGGAGTAGGCCATGTTTCCAACAAAATAGGGTGAAAAATTCAAACAGGAACGATCAAATAGGAAAAATCATTAGTCAAAAGAGCTAAAAATTTATAAAATGGCGATGGGTCCTGCCAATAGAAACTTCAGTGATTCCCAGGATTTGGGTGAATTCGCGCAATATTTAAGGAATAGCCCAACACTATTTAGAAAATAAATTAATTATTTTATATATTTGTATGTCACAATGACAAGGAACATGGAGCATTATGAGCACTAAACTCAAATCCAGTGCCGTCAACATTACCATCAATAGCAAGTGCCATCAATAGTGCGACAAAAATACAGTTTTTATTAGCTGTAATATTTTATGTAAATCTAATACGCATTGGCAACTATGCGATGTTGTTTCATATGATTAGAACACCCAGAGTGCTGCGCAAATGCTTTACCACATATTTTGCAAATGTGCATTTTTTTGCCAGTGTGTAATTTTTTATGTTCTTTTAAGGTGCTTTTCTGTCCAAAACATTTCAAACAAATATTACATTCAAATGGTTTTTCACCAGTATGTGTGTTCATATGTTCTGTTAAATTTTTCAATTCAACAAACTTTTTGTCGCATAATTCACATGGATGTGGCCTTTTATTGTAATCTGTATGTCTTTTTAGTTTATGTCGTCGAAGTCCACTCTAAAATAAAAACATGTAGTGAACCATTTTTTTATATGCGCATTTCTTACCATATTAGCAAAGTTGAGACCACAAAGCTCACATTGATTTGGTTTCTCTAAGTAAACAAACACAACAAATAAAAATTTTGTATAGTAAAATAATTCGAAATACCTTTTAAATGAACCCTTTTTGTGTGCAAATTTCGTAATTCATTTGTTTTAAATCTACTGTCACAAAATTTACATCTAAAATTTCTTATATCACCAGTATGTTGCGTAATTTTATGAGTTTGTAAATTCCTCTTAATTGAAAAAGCTGCTGAGCAAACATCACATTTATAAGGTCTTTCACCTGTATGACTCCTCAGATGATCTTGAATTGCATCGATTTTCTTAAAGCTCTTAGAACAAAATTTGCATCTTAATTTTTCATGACGAGTTTTGTGTTTTTCTAACATTTTCTCATTTGAAAAAGTGGCATCACAGAGATCACATTGTAATTTTTTATGAGTTTCCTGATGTTTTTGTGCGTGTGATTTTCTAGATGAGTGTCTGCCACATATTATACATGTTAGAATATAATTTAAATGATTTTTTGTATGAAGAACCAGACTATCTCTTATGATAAACTGTTTGTTGCAATACCTACACCGCAGATTTACTTCATCTAAATCATCTAGTCCAAATGGAAAATCCAAAGTATTTGTTCCTATGTTGGCATTTCTTTGATTACCTTCGTCGTTCATATTATAAGTAGCATTTGATAATTCATTTTCACTAACACTGGTTTCTTCCCAATCGTTATTTTTAATGCTTTTGTTTGATGTTAATAATTCATCTTTAACTATGATTTTATTTCTGTCTAGAAAAGGTTTTCCATCATGAAAAAAAAGTATATATAATTTATATGTACCCTCCACAACTAACAAATCTTTCACAGTCACTCTTACATTTTAATGGTTTTACTTCCGCATGCACCATTTCCAAATGCTTTTGAATATCACTAACTTTTTCGAAAATTTCTTTACATACAGCACATTTCAGTATTGAATGACTTTTAACATGGATTTCAAAATCATTTTCACTTGAGAAATTGAAATTACAAATATCGCAGTGCATTTTTGGATGAATTTTTTCATAACTTGAAGTGTGAGATCTCTTACGAGAATGTTTTCGACAAATCCTACAAGTAAAAAAGTAGTTAATATTAATATTTTAAATCAGATTATCTGTTTTACTGAACTGGTTTTTACAATAGTTGCATTGAATATTTTTGTTTTCTATGTCACATTCTCCGAAAGCAAAATTTTCTATCTGCTTAATATTTGACGTGGGTTTAGAATCATCTTCTTGTTCGTTTTCGGAATAAAAATTTATACTAGAATTTGACGGTGATAAGATTAAATTTTTTTCCGCATTATTTTCGACCTCGCTAAAATTTAATTCTTCTATTTCTACATAAGATTTCTGTGCAAGTTTTTGATTATCATGACCTAGTTTTGCATTTATGTTAAATCTACTCTGTGAAAAAATTGTGTCCATATTTTGTGAATTAAATTTAGAGTTCTGAAACGTTTTTGAATTAGTGCCATTTGTAGATTTTAAATAATGCTCTGTTAAACTATGATCTTCAAACTCTTTAGATGACTCAAAACAGTTTTCGCAAATTGTACAAATATACAAAAATGAATAAGTTGACGTGAAATAGATAAAGCCACACAGATCATCTGCTAAATCCAACATTACAAATTATTTAATTGATTTGCTTACTCTTTTTAATAGACTGATAATCAAAGCAAAATATTTTCCTTAAATAAATTGTTTTTCTGCAAAGAGCATAAACATTTTCTTATACTACAAACAAAATATAACCTAAAAAACACTAACTGTCAAAGCAAATGTAATAGGCAGCAGTGTTTAGATGTCGACTTTAAAAAAATATATATTATGTTTATGTAAATTCGTTGAAAAAATATATATGCATGTACATTTTTCACTAAGGAAAATAATTTATTTACACGATTCTATTGTGAATATGCCGCAAATTCTTTAACGTCAAAATTTTGATTTTAGTCTGCAAACTGTCTGAAACTAAAACTTTTACGGACAGAAATGTAGTAAACTTTTTACCCGTAATTGACTTTGAATTTTGATCATCCGTAAACGTCAAAAAAAAAAATTTTTTTAGATTTAAAATAATTTTATACTTACATATTAAAAATTAATAAAAAAAGTATTTTTTATATTATTTTTAACGTAATGATAGTCACTCAATACATCAAATTTATTTACTGAATTACTACGTCAGACTGTCTGCATGTAAAAAAAAAAATCTACAATTTTGACGCTTAATTGACTTTTTTTAAACGTTTAAGAATTTAAACTTTGACTGAGAGTAAAAACGTAGTAGAGTATCCGTAAACTCAGACAACTCAGATTTTGTAAAATTTGACGTTTAAGAATTTACCAATGCTTCACCATTCAGAAAAAAAGAAAAAGCAGAAGAATAAAAATAATTGTAATTATGACTTATGATAACTCTAAGTTATATTTGAATTTTTGACACTTGTAGACACCTATTCTTCGTAAATAGTTCATTTTTTTTGATTTGAACCATATTGCAACAATAGTAGTATTTGAATGTAAGCGAAATAAGGGAATTAATGCATTGTTGATTATCGTTATCTGAACTCGCGACTTGAATGTTTTCATATATATAAAGGTAAAAAAGGAATTTTACACAATATTTTGAATTTTCTAAACCGTTTTGAATGATATGTTTATGTATTGACTTTTTTTTCTAATACTGCCAATAAAATACACTATGTTGAATAAATTACAAATTACTGAAATATTAATAAAGGTTTTCAAAAAAGCACATTTCAGTTACCGGCTGTGTATTAAAAATATACAATTTTATGTTATAAATATAATCTAGTTACATTTAACTGTTTCAGAATGAGCCAAATCAAAGAACGTGATGTATGTATTTCTTAACTTATATGTTGAATTATATTTTTAATTTATTTACTGATATGTACAACAATTAAATAAAAAATTCTTATGGAAATATATTGGGTATACGAAGGGCAGCCCCTTCATTCGATAAGTGTAGGTGTTTGATATATGTAAAAAGAATGTGGAGCGATCTTGGAAAAAGAGTGGTGGCAGGAAAGCTTGTCTTAAACGCAATTTGCCGAACAAGCATAAAATTGATATTGAAGCAATGGATGCTCTAACAGTACGAGTGCTTTTGAGGATTTGGTTGAATTTGCAGAAATATTGATAAATACTCCAACTGTTTCGTAAGTTTTCAATTATATGATTATTTAAAATTAAATTTAAAGTAAATTAAATAATTTTATAAACTTGAAGACCATAAAATTAAGAAACGTTGAACCCCATGATCCCCCCCTTCGCTATGCCAAGAATAGTGACACCAGGTGTAGTACCAAAAATAGTAGAAATACGCCGAAACAAATTGTGGTGTTAGCCATGTATCCAACAAAATTGGGTGAAAAACTCGAATAGTAACGGTGGGAGGATCGTTTGTTAAAGAAGCAAAAAATTTATATAATGGTGATGGGTGCTGCCAATAGAAACTCCAGTGTATCCCAGGATTTGGGTGAATTCACGTAATATTTAAGAAATAGCTGAACACTATTTAGAAAACAAATTAATTATTTTATATATTTGTGGGCCACAATGCCAAGGAACATGGAGCATTATGATCACTAAACTCAAATCCAGTGCCGTCAACATTATCATCGCAAGTGCCATCAATAGTATGACAAAAATACAGTTTTTATTAGCTTTAATATTTTAAATAAATCTAATACGCATTGCCAACCATGCGATGTTGTTTCATATGGTTAGAACACCCAGAGTGCTGAGCAAAAGCTTTACCACATATTCTGCAAACGTGCATTTTTTTTCCAGTGTGTAATTTTTTATGTTCTCTTAAAGAGCTTTGCTGCCCAAAACATTTCAAACAAATATTACATTCAAATGGCTTTTCGCCAGTATGTGTGTTCATATGTTCTGTTAAATTTTTCAATTCAACAAATTTTTTGTCACATAATTTACATGGATGTGGTCTATTGTTATACTCAGTGTGCCTTTTTAGTTTATGTCGTCGAAGTCCACTCTAAAATAAAAACTTGTAGGTATGAACCATTTTTTTATATGCATGAATATTTCTTACCATGTTAGCAAAATTGAGACCACAAAGTTCGCATTGGTTTGGTTTTTCTAAGTAAATCAATAAAGTATTAAAAAAAATTAAATTTAATATATTCGGAATTACCTTTTAAGTGAACTCTTTTAGTATGCCAATCTCGTAATTGTTTTGTTTTAAATCTTCTGTCACAAAATTTACAACTGAAATTTTTTACATCCCCAGTATGTTGAGTAATTATATGAGTTTGTAAATTTTTTTTTATTGCAAACGCAGCTGAACAAACATCACACTTATAAGGTTTCTCTCCCGTATGAGTTCTCAAATGATTTTGAATTGCATCGCACTTTTTAAATATTTTAGAGCAGAATTGGCATCTTAATTTCTCATGACGTGTTTTATGCTTTTCTAAAGCTTTTTCATTCGAAAAAGTGGCATCGCAAAGATCACATTTTAATCTTATGTGAGTTTTCTCATGGATTCGAGCGTGTGATTTCCTTGACGAGTGTTTTCCGCAAACTTTGCATGTAAGTACATAATCCAAATGATCCTTTGTGTGATGAAGTAGATTATTCCTTGCGCTAAATTGTTTTTTGCAGTATTTGCATTGAAAATTAATTTCGTCTAAATCATCTAATCCAAATGGGAAAATTATTGATGCACTTTCTATATTAATTTGACTCTGATCAATTTCTTGTTTCATAATTACATTGGAATTCAGTATGAGATCCTGATTTTTCACGTATTCTTCTTTGAAGTCGTTTTTATTTGAGTTACAATCAATCTCTTCCATTTTGATAGAAAACTCTTTTTCTAACTTTACATTCAAGTTTTCAAGAACCGTATTTTCTGAGTTGTAATCAGAATCTATAGTTTCTTGCCCTACAAAATCAATATCATCTGATGCTGAGAGTCCAACATTATGTATTGCTTTATCGTTACTAAAAAAAGGTTTTTCACTATGCATATTCATGTGCTTTGTAAATTTGTTTGATTCATGAAAGGATTGAGAGCACAAGAGACAAGAAAACTTTGGAATTATTCCTGAATGATTTTTCGAATTGTGCTCTCTTAAAGTGAACTGAAAAGTTAATTACAATTAATAAAATTTTAAATTTTATAATTTTAATTTACTTACTTCATTTTCGAATTTCTTATTACACAATTCACATTGATTTTCCTTTGGCTTTACTAAAAAATAAACATCAATGTTAAAATTAGAATTGTACCCAGCAAAATCTATAAGATATTTAGTAATTAAAATCATTGAAATAGAAAATATACCTACCTTTAAATTTCTTTTGTACTGAATGTTTGACTGTTAGGTGAGTTTCTAAATCATGTTCCAAAACAAAAGCTGCATCACAACTATCGCACTTATACGGATTATTTTGGAAGTTAGTCTTTTCTAAATGATTTTTATTAATAATAGTAGTTTTTTTTAAAGCTCCAGCACGAAATGTACATTTGAATATCTTATGGCTTTTAGCATGAATTTCTAACTCATTTTTAGTTGAGAAATTGCAGTCGCAAATATCACATTTTATTTTTGAGTGAATTCTTTCATGACTCAGAGCATGAGATCTTCTATTAGAATGCTTTCCACAATATCTGCAGGTAAGTAGGTAATTAAGGTGGTTTTTCGTGTGTTGAATTAGGGTTTCTAATTTACTAAATTTTCTTTTACAGTACTTGCATCGAAGGTTATTGTCATTTGAATTGTTTTGTGAAAATGGAAAGTTGGACTCTTTATTATTTTCAATATTTAATTCGGAGTCAAGTTCCTCTTCTTCTTCATATTTGGTCTTAATATCTTCGTTTGAATTTGAAGATTCTAAATCAGAAACCTCTTCGTGTGAATCATTTTCCTGATCACTAATATTTATTTTTTCTATTTCCACATACGATTCTTTGAGTGTTATCTTTCCTTGAGTAAATTCGTCATACATATTAGATTCGCCGTTTTGTCGTAGAACGCTTTTAACAGTTTCCGTGTTAAATGTAGAAACTCCATCTGCATTCAAACTTATTTCATTTGAAGATTTTAGATTATGTTTTAAACTATGATTTTGAAACTCTTTGCACGATTCGAAGCAACTCTCACAAAGAGCACAAAAATACAGGAACGAATTAGTTGAAGTTAAGTAAATATAGCCACATAGATCATTTGCGGAATCCAACATTTTACACTTTTTTATATTTTAAAATAAAGTTTTAGTATTTAAATATTAAAGAATTTCCCTTCAGCAAATATTTGTGTTTCAATTCAACCATCGGTAACGTCAAAACATAAATTTTGTTTTTCTACCAATCAATCAAAAAAATTTCGTGTTGTAAGTTTAGACATAAAACTGGGCGGATGACAGTTCATCTACTGGCCATTTTTCAAAGTTCAAAGTCAGGAAAATAAAAGAATCGATAAAGAAAAAAGCTTTTTCTATGGAGATTTGCTTTAATTTGATATTTTTGATTAAGCAAAAAGCCAAACTATAACATTAATCAAATTATTCGAAAGTACTAGATCTAAGAATAATGGTAAATAAACGGTAACAACAAGCAGTACAAAACTACAATTAACAAAACGTAGCATCCTACTGATAATGAAGCTCCTTTTACGACCAGTACCGTGGCCTGCGACAAAAGTTGATGTACAAACTGTATGTCAACAATTGCATTTATGGGAGAATATTTATTCACTTTTTAAAAAATTTAAAACTTAAAAACTAAAAATTTACACGTAAGTACATTTAATTTTACGATAAAGTAGTCATGACTGAAAATCTTTTACTTTGACTTAATCTTACCGTAATTATTTTACTTCCAGTTGGTAGATTATTTCCCTAGTGGATGTGACGATCCCCTCGCTATATGGCAGCTCTGTATATTTGAGTTTATAGGGATAAACTTAAGATATTCGAAATGTCAATGCAAGGGTAGATAAAAAATTTTGATTCAACATTATCTGTCAAGTTTTCGTCTTTGATAAATTCGATTTTGTAATTGTAATGTTTTGTACTTTAATTTTATTCAATATTTTTTATTTGAAAAATTAATATATTAAATTACAAAGAAATTGTATATTTATTAAAAAAGTTTTAAATGTTATATAAGAAGTTTTTAAAAAATATGTAAATTAATATACCGAAAAATCGATAGTTGGCTTGTTTGCTTGTTGTTTGATTGTGTTTCAATGATAAAGATATTATAATCAAAATAATATTAAATATTAATTTATAAAAATGCAAGCTAAGAAACGTTATATTTTAGTTTTTATATCATGTGCATTTCTTGCATATTGTTATTTTGGTGGTTATAGGCTGAAAGGTGGAGGAGATTCATCAAGTAGTAGTGCAATAGCATGGCGTAAAAAGTCCTCCAACCTTCATTATCAGCACCGTCACAGGCATAAAGAAATAAATAAATTTCACGATGGTTCAAGTTTACCTAGTTTTATGTTAACAGAAAAACGCGAAATCGATGGACTTTTAGAATTATCGCAAAAATATTTGTTAAATATTTGGGAGGATGAGTTTAATGATGGAATAGATTCGAATAAACATGTCAATGGTGTTCATAGTGCACAAAATATAGTAGTTGTTAATAAGGAAAACAAAAATAAAGGTAGTAGAACACGCTTGAATAAAATAAAATCTTGTCGAATGGAGACATGCTTCGATTACACTAAATGTTTAGACCAATTTTTAATTTATATTTACCCTCCGGAGCCAATCAATTCATTTGGTTTGCCACCAGTTAGCCAAAATTATCAAAAAATTCTGACAGCTATACGTGAATCCAGATATTATACTTCGAACCCGGAAAAAGCATGTTTATTTGTGTTGGGGATTGATACATTAGATCGTGATAATTTATCTGAGGATTACGTGCGTAACGTGCCATCACGGTTGGCAAGGCTTCCATATTGGAACAATGGTCGTAATCACATAATTTTCAATTTATATTCAGGTACATGGCCTGATTATACAGAACATTCCCTTGGGTTTGATCCAGGTGAAGCAATTTTAGCTAAAGCCAGTATGAGCGTACAGCATATGCGTGAAGGATTTGATATTAGCATTCCATTATTCCATAAGCAATTTCCTTTAAGGGCTGGAAATACAGGATTTGTGCAAACAAATAATTTTCCTACAGCCAAAAAGTATTTATTAGCTTTTAAAGGTAAAAGATATGTTCATGGAATTGGTTCAGAAACAAGAAATTCACTTTTCCATTTACATAATGGGAAAGACTTAGTATTAGTTACAACATGTCGTCACGGGAAAAGTTGGAGAGAATTACAGGATTCTAGATGCGATGAAGATAATAGGGAATATGATAGATATGATTACGAAACATTGCTTCAAAATTCTACTTTTTGTTTAGTTCCTCGTGGGCGTCGTTTAGGTTCCTTTCGATTTTTAGAAGCTTTGCAAGCAGGTTGCATTCCTGTTTTGCTATCAAACGCATGGGTATTACCATTTGAGTCGAAAATTGATTGGAAGCAAGCTGCAATATGGGCTGATGAAAGACTTTTACTTCAGGTTCCTGAAATTGTAAGATCAATATCAACAAATCGCATACTTGCATTACGTCAACAAACTCAAATATTATGGGAACGTTATTTTGGTTCAATAGAAAAAATTGTTTTTACAACTTTAGAAATAATACGCGAACGATTGCCAGATTATCCTGTTCGAAATAGTTTAATATGGAATACTTCGCCCGGTGCTTTGCTAACTTTACCAACATTTTCAGATTCTGTTAAATTAATGCCATTTTTATTAGATAATATGGGCGCAAAGCCCCGTCATAACTTCACAGCAGTCATATACGTGCAAATTGGTGGTCCAATATCACCAAACTCTGCACTTTATAAACTAGTCAAAGGCATAACAAAAAGTCAGTTTGTAGATAGAATACTTATTTTGTGGGCATCAGATCGCTCCATTCCTTCAAAGAAAAGATGGCCTTCGATGGGTCATATACCATTTAATGTGATACCTTCAAGACCTAGTATGTCCCAAAGATTTTTTCCATATCAAGAAATAAAAACTGATGCAGTCATATCATTGGACGAAGATGCTATTTTAAATACTGATGAAATAGATTTTGCATACACGGTTTGGAGAGATTTTCCTGAACGCATTGTTGGTTACCCAGCGCGAGCACATTTTTGGGATGATTCTAAAAATGCATGGGGTTATACATCAAAATGGACCAATTATTATTCAATTGTGTTGACTGGTGCTGCTTTCTATCATCGTTATTATAATTATTTATATACAAATTGGCTATCATTACTTGTTTTAAAGACTGTACAACAATCTTCCAATTGTGAGGATATTCTTATGAATCTCCTTGTATCTCATGTTACTCGTAAACCTCCAATTAAAGTAACACAACGTAAAGGTTATAAAGATCGTGAAGGTGGTCGGTCACCATGGAATGATCCTGATCATTTTATACAACGGCAAGGATGTTTAAATACATTTGCAGCTGTATTTGGATATATGCCATTATTACGATCAAATTTACGTTTAGATCCAGTTTTATATCGAGATCCTGTTTCAAATTTAAGGAAGAAATACCGACAAATTGAATTGGTAGGTAGCTAGCGATTCGCTATTGAATCGACATATTAATTTTTTTTAATTAATTATTATAATACTCTTAAACATAATCAAAAAAAATCTTTAATAAAATATCTGAATATATTTACATATTTCTGCACTTTACCATCCCAACAAAAAGAATCTTAAAAGAAAATTAGTAAATTTATAAGAAATATTAAAATAATCAAATTAAGCAAAAAAAAGATGAAACAAAATTATATACATGTATATACGTATATATATATAAATTAACCACATCCACCACAAACCAGTAAATCCTGAACTAATATACTTAATTATTAATAATATTTTTTAAATTTAAATTGAACTAAAAACCAAAAACGAACAAAAATTTACTGAGCTATAAGTATTTCTATTAATATACACATATACATACTATGTTTTTTATATAGAGTTTTATGCAAAAAATAAGAAAAAAATTATAAAGAATTACATGAATATTATGTATATACATAGTATATGTATACATATATATATATATATATATATATATATATATATATATATATATATATATATATATATATATAATATATATCTAAATATGTATATATATATTATTATTATATGCAAGCGGTTTAGAAAATTTGACTAAGCCCTAAAAAAATTAATTAACATTAAATAAAGATCGTAATTTTTTAAATACTATTTACGATATTCTCGTTCTGTAGAACACAAAGAAAGTAAAAAAATATTACACTAAAATATAAATTAATAGAAGTGAATTATTTTTTATAAGTCTGAATGCAATTTTATTAAAACAATTTTCTTTTTTTTAATTTTATTTAATTTTATTTAAAAAAATAGTAAATATAATAAGTAAAAGAGTGCAAATACTATTTTAAAAATTCTGAAAAATTTTTCTTTAAGAATAAAAGAATCTATCTAATGAAATTCATTTTGAATGATGGTGACTGATGATTAATAATTGATTTTACTATTAAATTATTTAATTTTTTTTATTTTATTTTTTATTCAAGTATTCTTTATTTTTTAAATGATTTTATTTGATGAAAACGTCAATAGTTTAGTACAGTTTTATCAGAAATTACATATAACTGAAATTTGAGATCATTAAAGCCTAAGTTAGAAAATATTTTGAATATAAATATTAAGTAAAGTCGTAAAGAAATCCGGAAGATAAATTGACATTCATTGTAGGTAGCTATGACAGTAAAACGGTCCATGCCATACTTAAGATAAAAATGTCAGTTTTTTTTTTTAAATTGAAATTTTTGCTCAAAAAATGTCTATAAATACTGCACTGATTAATTTGACTTATAAATTAGTCTTTCATTTAGCCTTTAATTTAGCCTTTAAGGTTTAAATGTCGATCTGAGTACGTCACTTAATATAAGGTAGAAGTTATTTATGGTCAATACACAATATTCAAGAAACATTTTCAAATATTTATATTATTGTTGTTTTAGCACTAAAACTCAAAAAACTTATACAAAACAAATATTATTTGCAATATATAAAATATTACATAAATAATGTGGTGGTATTACTGTTTATGAATGCATTTGACATTAATATGGGTAAATCACAGTTATAATATAATTAATTGATAAAGGTCTTTTACTTTAATGTTTAGGCAATTAACGCTCTGTTGACCCAATCGAATTTTTTTTGTGTTCGTTGAATTTTTGTTTACCTTAATTTTTTTTTCCTGGGTAAATTTTTTTTTAAACATTGTTTTAAGAGAATGATATTTTCCATTATCATGGATGGGAGGACCCCATATCAATTTTTCTTCACTTATTTTTATACATAAATATGTATGTACATATGCATAAAATAAATAATATAAAAAGTGTACTGGTAAATAATTCTTTTATCAAATTTGATAATGAATTTAATTGATGTTCATAGTATTAATTTATAAATTTCCATTAGAATTTTGGTAACGGTAAAAGTAATAGAAGTAATACGAACATTTCCTTCGTAATTTATTTAAGAACCTTCAAAATTATTCTTTTATTTCGTAAATGTGAAACCTAAAAAAAAACTGATTTGCAAATTATAAAAAAAGGAAATACTTTAATTATGTTCTACACGGAGATAGAGGCTATACTTAAATATATTTCACTAAAACAAACAATTATTCAAGTATTTAATGTGGTCTATAATTGAAAGTCAATGTGTTTTTTTTTTGTTAAATTCTCGTCAGGTTTTTAATCAATAAATTTAATTTTCTTTTGAATTCACAAGCGTGTTTTACGTACCCGCTGATTTAAAACATTATTTTTACATTTTTTGAGTAAAATTAAGTAATTGTTTAGTAACTAAAGTCTAAACGAATCGGTTAAATTGAAAAAAATATTTTGCTAAACTTATTCTATATTACCATAATTTTTAGTGATTGCGATAACATAATCAAAAAGTTTTCAAGTTAATTATAAGTATAAAACTGCCATTTACGATATTTTCACCATTAAATATTGTTATTTTTATAGCAGATTTCAGCAGAATAATTTAAAAAAACTTAGATATAGCTACTTTGAATTATATTTATCAATTCAAATACCGAAATTTGACGTTAGGTTTGCTTTTTGGTAGACGTTCTTATGCTTTTAATTTGTAAAAATGATTTTGTTTATCTTTATACAAATATTTTTTTATTGAAACAAAGAAGTACTTATGTTGCAATATTGAAAATTAATAGGAAACAAAAAAGAAACTCCAAATTATTATTTAAAATTGTTTATTTATTTAAGTGCATATGCAAAAAGTACACACTCTCTACGCATTTACGTACATGTGGGTAAAAAAAGAAAACAAAAATTAATTAAGGTAAATTTTTTATACGTACATACTTATGTATATATGTATGTACTTACTGAAAAAATTTTCCATTGTTTATAAAAAATTTTATTCTAAATTTTTTATTAATTATATTTACATGCATACAAACATACATTTATATACATATATTTAGGTACATTGTTTGTGATAGGTATTTTTCTCAAATAAACTTCCTTTAAGAATTCTTTATTATTGTTTCTTTTTCATTTTATTTTATATTTACATATATTCACGTATTCAAAAAAACAAAGAACAAAAAACAAAATAAATATTTACGTATTAAAAATTCAAAAATCGGGAAAAATGTAGAACACAACCAAAGCAAAAAAAAAACAACTACAACATAAATTACTACACAATAAGTACATGAGTATAAGATTTTTTTTTGCTTTAAGCGTTGACTTTTCATTTTCTACATTTATTTTTATTTAAAATAAACATAAGATTTTTTCCCCTGATTCGCATCTCGCATAATAAGCTTTTCATTCGATTTATAGCTCTTACTTTAATCTTTAATAAATTAAAGCAAAAAAAAAAGGAAAAAAAAACATAATGTAAGTTTGTATGTACTTATATTTTAAAGCATTATTTATATTTATGTACATACATATGTATGTAAAAAAAAAGTTTAACGGACAAAAAGAATTTCAATAATTTTTTTTTAACTTTTACAATGAGCTCTTCAATAATATTTTTAAAGTATAGAAGGTATAATAAAATATTAAAAATGCTGTTAAAAATTTTCTTTTATGCTTTTCATTAAATTCTTAATGTGTATAATAAGTCCATTTCAATTATTTCTCAACTTGATTTTATAGCTAAAATGTTCATGGTTCGTTGAATCAAACAAAAACAATATCCTTACCTCATTTGACCCGTTAATTCCGCTATATATTTTTTTTTTTCTATACTTTTCATGCAAAATTCAAAAATATTGTCCTGAAATGGAAAGAATTTTAGAAAATCACAAATCTGCATGATCATTTAATGTATTTATGTCATATTCAGTATTTAGGTGGTTGCTTTAATCGTTTTTATTGAAATTCTTAATCGTTATTTAAACTAAACATGTACGTACTTTGTTTTTTAATGTTGAAATGCCATAAGTCTCCACTGGCTTGTCGAATCGGTTTTGTATTTTCGCTACTAACCACATGAAAGCTGCTGGCTATGGCTCAAACATTATTTTGATATCTTCTAGAACATTTTCTTTAATTTATTTTTCTATAAGGGAGTTAATCATATCAATATTTTCGGCAGCTTATGATTTGAATGTGCTGGTTTTTCGTTTTTGGCTTCAAATTTACATTTTTTTTTGTAATAGATTAAAAGTTTACTTGCTTTCTTAAAATTTGACACAAGTGTTGAAAAGATATTTGGTTGGTTATAATCTTGCCCAAATTAAGAAATACATTTGACGATCGATTATCTGCCGATCATATCAGATATTTTTTTAAATATGGAAACTTTAGGGCTTCTTTCCTTTTTTTTTTATATTTCATTCATTTTTAATAGTGCTTGTTTTGGCAACAATGAAATGACGTTCTGTTTCTGTAGATTTGTAAATATACCAGAAATAAATTCGTACTAACTTTTTTCCAAAATTGTGGAAATTACGGAAAAAAATAATGAAAAAAGGTGGTATCGACTTTATTTTGAAAAAGAAATTAGTCATTTTTAAAAAATTTAAATAAATTCGAATTGATTTAAATCGGTAAAAGAGTCAGAAATATTACAGAAGGAGGAAATAACTTACACTTACTTACTTGACTGCAATATTTTCAACTTTGAATTTTATGAGCTTTATATAATAATATAGTATAAATTTGTTATGCAAGTCATTTAACAATTTTGAATTTTAGGTCTTATTATACATACTTATGTATAGATGTACACAATTTAAAATTTATCCTTTCGCAGAAATACATATTAAAGTAGTTTTTTTAATTATTTCTACTTTAATTTAGACATTGGAATCATTTTTAAATCATTTGTAAAACTAAGAATTACAGTCGAACCAATATTTACGGAACTCTCATAAGAACAAGACGTTTTTAACAAAATTGTTTTATTCATTCTTGCTTCTGTTCAATCAGCAGCATGCCCAAGGGCAGGAATGATTACAAAAAAATTTAATTTGAAATGCTATTTACAAACACAGACTTTTTGTACATTTCATAGGTAAGAAGATTTTCAATCGGACCATTAATGTTCTCATAGTAAAAGCTTTAACTCAAGATTTAACAATAAAATTTGAGTAAAATCAAAAACTTTTTAACTAAAAACTTTTTTTTTT